GTACGTACTCTATATCTGCTAATTTCGTTCTTTAAGTGATTATAGGACAGACTTTTCATATAAGTTTTGGGTGGAGTTTAATAACCTATAGCGAAATGTGTCTATATATGATATGAAACCAAAGGCCATCATCACCATTCATCGACCATATCTAGCCATGCAACACCAAAAACTAGGGTGACATATTCATCGATATATTGTTATACACAATAGATTTGTTTTTTTAAGAAAGGTTTATTAATTATTTTTTTATTTTATTTTCATTGTATATACAAAGCACCTAGATGTAGATCTATACAATAGAACATTCTTTGATACAAAACCAATTAACTTAGATGTATACAATCAATTACAATTTGAACATAATAATCTAGTGTGAAGACTAATATTCTAACATAAATGCTAATGTGAACATACTAATATAGTATGAATGCTAATATTCTAACATCCCCGCAACCTTAAGGTCGTAGTCAAGAGACCAAATTGAGTTTGGAAAAAAGAGATTGGAAACATCCACAAAAGTAAGCCTTGGTGAACAAATCTACAAGTTGATCAACAGAACTAGTGAAAATCAAATGAACAGTTTCCTTCGCAACATAATGACGAATAAAGTGACAATCAATCTCAATATGCTTTATGTATTCATGAAATACATCATTGTGAACAATATGTATAGCACTTTGTGTTGGCTCAATGCACTCCAAGAGGAGGGTGAATTGGAGTTAAAAAATTTTCACCTCTTTGAAACTACCAAACAAAAATTAAAGAGAGAGTAGGGAAGAATAACTTGCACAATGATTTTATAGAGGTTCAGTCCAACCACTTGAAGCCTAATCCTCTACCTTGGCTCGTTCACCAAGGATTTCCTCTACACTCTTCACTAAAAAAAATAAAGGTGGCTCAAAGAAGTCACTCAATCTTTTTACAAGAAGAAAGGTATTTCTCTCAAATCTCACCCTTTTATAAGATAAACCCCAACAATCCTCGTTACAAATCACTCTTGAAAGAATAATCACACCGCTTAAGATAACACACAAGCAATGTTTTGAAAATCGACTTGGAGGTCAAACCATTTTGACCTCTGGTTCTCAGTTTGATCAGTTTAACCAATTAAATTGTTCAAACTGTCGGTTTCATTACATATGAATAAATATAATATGATGTAATGATCTAACATGACAGATGTAGTGGCTTGACTGGTTTGTC